AGTTGAATGAAATGAGCAACTCTTAACATAACTGTGCTAAATATCACAGTATACCAATAGCATTTTGAGCTATTATAACAATTATAATTATATTACTAGTAAAAATATAAAGGTATGAGGAACAAGTGTCAACTACATATTTCCCGGTTCACACATGTGATATCAGAAAGTCAAATTAAAATGAGGACACTACATCTATTGTAAAAGCCACAAAATCCATAAGTAGTAGCTATTTGACACAACTCTACTACGAGTTTGAAATCCAAAAACTGCTGCAGACATGGTGACAGTTCATCCGCACCATGGAATTGATACTCTAACAACAAAGGTTTGCCGATCACGGATTTCCAATGCTTTCATTGCAGATACCCCAGTATTTATATATACATTTACTATCATCTCGTTCTGCTCATTTATATAAACAATACAATATAATACATTTACAATGCATGTATGTATATTATTTAATGTTTACAAAACAAAATAAAAAAGACTTTGTCCACCAGCAATCACTAAAAGCCAAATTAATATTATATATCATAGCCAAAGTAAATAGTTACCATAATTGTTAATTAATTGTTCAGATGTATAAATTTTGATATTATGTGTACATTAAAAGCTGTTGTAGTTTATTTATGTGAGAATATAGTTTTTAAGTGAGTATTTACGATGTATTTCAGTATGCGATATAAGTAACGAGTAATCGTGTGTAGCTCATGCTGTTTCCACTTGTAAAAGTCGCAGTGAAGGCAGACAGCCGATAAGAGAAGCATAAATGTGGAAAATATAATTTTTCTCAATTATTGTCTATTAGTTGAGAAAACGGTATTATAGCGTTTTGCATTAGCGTTCACTATAATAATGTTGGTTCTCAGATTAATTAATGATATAATAATTTAATTATTAAAATAAATATTGTTGCCATACTGTTATAGAAGCTTATATTTTTAAGAAGCATAAAGGCGACATATACGAGTTTATTCTAATTGGCTGATTTACACTGATCAGAACAAATACGATTAGAAGAAAAAATTTGCAAGTTGCTAAGCCCGGTTCTTCTCTTAATTTAATTTGATATCATAAATGTATATTT